CAAAGAGCAGGGAAGAGAGGATGGAAAGAAGGAAGGGAGGAAAGGTCTCCCTTATTAAGTTTGCCTTAGATATTGTTTTAGGCTCTTTTTGAACCTAAGAAAATGGAAGGAGAAAACTGCCACCCTCTATAGAATTTCAACTCTTAACGCCTCTGTCAGCCGCAATAGTTCTATCAGATGCTCTCAGACGCTTAGCCTTTGCTGGCCTTCAGGATTTGGACATTTTTGAGCTGAAACTTTTTCCCCCACTCCTGGTTTGAAGCAAAAAATCTATATATTGAGGAATCAAGAGTATTAAATCACAAAACTGTAGAAGGTTGCTAAAATTTGGAAGAAATGAGCCTCAGGTGTGACCTGAGGCATATGATACTTGGTATCTCATTAGGTCCTGGGTGCTTTGATCTAGCCTCAGGGCAGAAGTTTCCTGCCCTTGCTGGGAGCCGGTACCTTTCTTTTCTGGGTCACACTTTACAATAAACCAAAAGCAGAGAAAGCAACTCTTTACTTAGAACTTTCAAGAAAAATTCCCCCATGTTCTTAACAACCCTGAAAGCCAAGAATGAAAAATTGTGAACTAAGGACCAGGAAATAACGTACACCCGTGCTAGCCACTAATGAGATGACTCACGTGGGAAGACTTTGGCTACAGCAGCCAAGGCGCTGTGGGCTGTAGATGCGCTCCTGTTTCTCCCTTGCCCCGGTCCACCTCTCCCCTCTGAACAGAGGACGGGTGCTCCTTAGGCTGGTGGGGTGCAGCTTTCTCCCCTCTGGGGTCCTGTGTGGCCCACAAATATTATGGATTCCTTGAAGATGTTGGGATTATAGAGACAGCATCACTTGATCTGAAAATCCTGCCACTCACTCTTTAATGGAGGTGAAGTTTAATGTCAGTGCGGATCCTAAGTGTACGATTTGAGTTTTGATGAATGTGTATGCCGGTGTAATGAGGAGCTCAAGGAATTCTAGACAATTCCTTTCTAGACAACCTCCATTCCTAGAGATGACTGTTTGGTTTCTTTTCATTTAAACTTATTTTCACTGAGGCTTAAAACATAAGCACATTATGCACGTGGGAGTTTCCGTGGTGTCTCCATGTATGTGCACATTTTGCAATATTGAAATCAGGGTTGGCATATTTATCTTCGCAGACACTCACTGCTTCTTTATGGTCAGAATAGTCAGAATTCTTTCTTAAAAATATATAGTACAAAATTGTACCTTACTGTGAAATGGTATACCAGAACACTCTCTCTCTCCCTCTCTCTCCCTCTCTCTCTCTCTCTCTCTGAGCAAAGCCTGGTCTTGAACTAGGCTGGTCTTGAACTCATGGTTCTCATGCTTCTGCTTCTTGAGTGCTGGGATTACAGGTGTGTGCCACCACACCTGGCCCACTAGAACTTCTTCTACCTAATTCAGTAGTCACTGGTCAACACATCTCATCCCTTCTTCCCATCACTTTTCCTAGGACATGGCAATCACTTTGATTCTCAGCTTCGAGGAGATCAACATACTTGAAGCCTAAATGTGAGTGAGAATGTGTAGTACTGGTCTTTCAGTGCCTGGCTCAGTGCTCTTAACAATAATCCATTTCTATCTATGTTGTCACAAATGACAGGATTTTTAAAAAGACCGAATAGTATTCAGCTGTATATGTGCATTACACATTACGCTGATGGATAGTTAGGCTGCTTCTGTTTCTTGGCTATCGAGAATTGTGCTGTGATGAATTGAGGCTGCAGATGTCTCTGTGATAGGCTGGCTTCGTTTCCCTTGGATGTATTGCTGGACCATATGGTAAGCTCTATTTTTAATTTTCCGGAGGAACGTCCATATTGCTCCCGCAAGGACTGACTCATTTGCATTCCCACCAACAGTGTCTATTGCTCCCCTTTCCCAAACACTTGTTTTCAGTCTTTTGATAAAGCCATTCTTACTTCAGTGAGGTGACATCTCCTGGTGCTTCTGATGTGCATTTTCTTGATAGCTGGTGACATTGAACATTTTATCATGGGTCTGTTGGCCATTTGCAGGTCTTCTTGAGAAATGTCTGTTTCAAGCGGTTTGCTACTTTTAGGTTATGTTCTTTTTTATTTCGTTTGCAGTTGATTTTTCAGAGCTCCTTGTATGTTCTGGGTGGATATCCGGTACCGCTTGTGAGACGTGTAGTTTGCAAATATTTTCACTTATTCTGTGAGTGATCTCTTCACACTAGATGAAATGCTTTTCAGTTTGTTATTATCCCATTTGTCTGCTTTTGCTGGTGTTTCCAGTTGGGTTCTTGCCCCGTGGAAAAATAAAATACAATGACATGAGAATAAAATAGGTTTGAGAAGGGAAAACACACCTCAATGACAATATGGAGTTCCTAAGTGCCCTCCTGAGTTTGGTCCTTTTTCATTTCTTTTGTGGCTGTTTTTGCTGTGTAGAGGTCATGCTTTTATTGGAACATATGTCTATATCTTTTAAATGTTTTGATGCTAATGTAAAGAAATTTTTTCAATATTACTTTCTAATTGTTGTTGCCACATAGAAAAACAATCGACCTTTTTGTTATGTGGCCATTCTAAAGTAGATTCATCCGAAATTTTCTGCATAAAGAACTTCTAAAATTCTAATAAATACCATTGTCCATCCTTCTCAGTCTGTATGCATGCCTCATTTCTTTTTTCCTCCCTTACTATGCTGGCTGGGACCTCTCACTGGGTGCATATGGAAAGGATGTGGTAAAAGTGACTATTCTTGCTTTGCTCTTGATTTTAGAATCGAAACATTTATTTTTTTCACCATGAGGCAGAATACTAGCTGTAAATAATCTTACGCAGCCTGGATCAAATTTTCATGTGCTTCCTCAAATTAAGGGAATAAATGAGAATCATTTTATTCTTAGCACGCTGGAAGTTATGATCGAGAATTAACCTCAACTTTTGTCAAGTGCTATATTGACACTCCAGTGTCCAACTTAACAGCTTTGCCTTTCAGTGATAAGCCTGACCTGATCACTAGAGATTGTGTACCTTATTATAGTTGTTTTGCATGTTTGAAAATGGAGTTTTATGTCTAGGTTATTTTTCAGTAAGGTTGGATCATTGTTGGTTTGGGGCTATGTGTGTGTTGTGCTGGTTCTGGGGCTTGAACTCAGGAGCACTTGACTTTTTTGCTCAAGGCTGGTGCTCTACCACTTGAACCATATCTCTGCATTTAGCCTTTTGCTGGTTCAATGGAGATAAGAATCTCATGGGCTTTTTTGTTTTTTTTTTTTTAGCCTGGGCTGGCTTAGAACTATGATCCTCAGATCTTGGCTTCCTGCGTAGCCAGGATTCCAGGCGTGAGTCACTGGCGCCTGGTGCCCTGGAACTCTGATGAGGAGTGTTGACAATACTTTTAAAAAAGCATTTCTTTTTGGTGCGATATGTACAGCTTTGAGTGGGTATAGCACAGTGGGGCCCTGAGTGTACACACCTCACTTCAGTAAGTGCCAGCAAAGCGGCTGTGCCCATTTACACCCCTGTTTGAGGCCTGGCAGTGCCACCCAGAAGAGTTATTCATGAGCCAAGAGGCAAGACAGGGAGCTGTGCGGGGCCATTGGAAGCTTGGCTGGAAGTTTCACCTTGCTGGGCTCATGGCCTGACTGCCAGGCCTGTGTGTGTGCTGGTTCAGATATGTCCCACTTGAATAAGGGGGTACCCCAGGTACCAGCTTGGGGCTGGGTATCCCCAGTGAAACCTTGCTTCATACTGCAGTGAGTTGGAAATTCAAGAAGAAAACTAAGAACTAAAGCTGCTTCTTATCATGTGTGTGTGTGGCTTGAGAACACTGGCTACGAGAACTTGAAAGAACTTTCTTTAGGCCTGGCAAAGCTAAATTAGGTCTCTTTCCCTCTGCTCCACTTTTCATCCCCTGCTTTCCCATTCCTTCACCTCCCATTCCCACCTTCCCTTCTTCCCTTCCCATTAGCTTCTTCTGGGGTGCTTTCTGCTAAGTCAGTCATTTGTAAACCCTTAGCTTAGTGGTTTTAAAAAGCCAACTCACATAGCAGATTCTTTTGTTCTCTCCCTCTGTTTTCCCTCCCCCCTTCCCTCCCTCCCTCCCTCCTTCCCTCCCTCCCTCCTTCCCTTCCTTTCTGGAGCTGGCCTGGACCCCAGAGTGGCTCTGAGCACAGCTCTCCTGGCCTCTGACATGCGTTCTTTCAGTTGTTTGTCTTTGTTCTGGTAAGGTTTGTCTTCTGTGGAACAAACAGGAGCACATGGCACGGGTGCACAGAGGCCTGGGTCTGGTCAGCCAGCCGGTCCCACTCTGTTCTCTCCCTGGCAGGCTGCACGGCCTTCCTGCCCTTTACATAAGCGGGATGAAAACAGTGCCATCTTTTGTGGCTGTTGCGAAGATGAAATTGGAATAACGCTGGCGGCTCACAGGCCAGGGAGACAGCAGACAGACAGCAAGCAGCAACAGGCCACACTGGAGTTCCGCTCAGGACACTGGGAGAGGGAGGGGAAGTGGCCGGCGGGGGACCCTGGGACGACCCTCCACCGTTCTCCTTAACACTGACAGCCACCCAGCAACCTACAAGGCCCTTGCCAGCAGGGGGCTGGCTCACACCTACAATCCGAGTTCCTCGGGAGGCTGAGGACGGAGGATCGCGGGGCAATGCCAGCCAGGTCATGAAGTCCTGAGAGTCTGATCTGCAATTAGCCAGCACAAACCTGGGAGGGGAGCTGTGGCCCACGTGGTAGAGTGCCAGCCCCGGGCAGAAAGGCTGAGGGCGCAGCCCCCAGGCCCCGAGGTGAAGCACTAGTTTGCGCACACGCATGCACACACGCTTGCGCGCGCACACACACACGGCCCCCGTGCGGGAGGAGAGGAGGTGCAGGTGATTCCAGCCGGGTCTGGACGGAGCCCAGGCGGGGAGGCCCGCACTCCGCACCCCGCAACCCCCCCATCCCCGCCCCGCCCCCCCCCTCCCCCCCCCCCCCCCCCCCCCCCGCATCCCCGTCCTCCAGGACGATGCTGGCCGGTCCGAAGAGGCCGGGTCCGGGTCCTGGCCGGATTTCCTTTCGAGGGGTCGCGGGTTCGCCGCTCGCCCGGACTTCTTTCTGTGCGGGGCGGAGCGCCGGGAGCGGGGCCTCCCACAGCCCCATCCGCAGGGAGGGCCGCGGGGCCTGGAGGGCGCGAGGCTGGGCGCGGAGGCGGTAAGGAGGCCGGTGCGGAGGCGGTGCGGAGGCGGTGCGGAGTCCCGTGCTCGCGGAGGCGGTGCGGAGTCCGGTGCTCGCGGAGGCGGTGCGGAGGCGGTGCGGAGGCAGTGCGGAGCCCAGTGCTTGCGGAGGCGGTGTGGAGGCCGGTGCGGAGGCTGGTGCGGAGGCGGTGCGGAGGCTGGTGCGGAGGCGGTGCGGAGGCGGTGCGGAGCCCAGTGCTCGCGGAGGCGGTGCGGAGTCCCGTGCTCGCGGAGGCGGTGCGGAGGCAGTGCGGAGCCCGGTGCTTGCGGAGGCGGTGCGGAGGCTGGTGCGGAGGCCCCGTGCTCGCGGAGGCGGTGCGGAGGCGGTGCGGAGGCGGTGCGGAGGCGGTGCGGAGGCGGTGCGGAGGCGGTGCGGAGCCCGGTGCTCGCGGAGGCTGGTGCGGAGGCGGTGCGGAGCCCGGTGCTCGCGGAGGCTGGTGCGGAGCCCGGTGCTCGCGGAGGCCGGTGCGGAGGCTGGTGCGGAGGCCGGTGCGGAGGCGGTGCGGAGGCCGGTGCGGAGGCCGGTGCGGAGGCGGTGCGGAGGCCGGTGCGGAGGCCGGTGCGGAGGCGGTGCGGAGGCCGGTGCGGAGGCCGGTGCGGAGGCGGTGCGGAGCCCGGTGCTCGCGTAGGCCGGTGCGGAGGCGGACCCGTGGACCAGTCCTTCCGGAGTGCAGGGCTGGGTAAGGATCCCAGTGTGGCTCCAGGGGCTGTGCTGGCCAAGCGGGGTGGGCTGGGTGCGGGGCCTGGTGCGGGCTGGGGCTGGGTGCGGTGTGGGGCTGGATGTGGCCTGGGTGCCGGTTTGGGTGCGGCCTGGGTGCGATGTGGGGCTGGGTAGGCCTGGTGTGCGGCTGGTTGCCGCCTGGTGCGGGCTGGGCGTGGGGCTGGGTGCGGTGCGGGGCTGGATGAGGTGTGGGGCATGGTGGGAGCTGGGTGGGTGCGGGGCTGGGTGCGGACTGGGTGAGGTGCGGGGCTAGGCGCAGTTTTCCTTGGGCACCGCACCCCGGGGTTGATTTCTTGGGCGCCATCTGAGGTTCTGTCTGGCTGAGCCGTTGAGGAAACAGGGAGATAGGGTTCGTGTGCGCCCCATCTGCTTGGATTTCCCCCTCCACCCCCCCCCCCAAGCGGCCCCCAACCCCCAGGCTGGGCCTGGCCCCAGAACACGCAGCAGAGCAGGGAGAGGCCTGGGCGGGTGGTCAGGGAGCGGGGAGGGGCGGCGTCTGGAGGTCCAGCGGCCGCTGCCCCGGCACTGCAGGGCAGGGAAGCAGGCCCGCACCCCACCGCTGCTGCCCCCAGCACTGCAGGGCAGGGAAGCAGGCCTGCACCCCACCACTGCTGCCCCCAGCAGGGCAGGGAAGCAGGCCCGCACCCCACGCCCGCACCCCACTGCCGCCCCCCCCCCACTGCAGGGAAGCAGGCCCGCACCCCACCGCTGCTGCCCCCCCACTGCAGGGCAGGGAAGCAGGCCCGCACCCCACTGCCGCCCCTCCCACTGCAGGGAAGCAGGCCCGCACCCCACCACTGCTGCCCCCAGCAGGGCAGGGAAGCAGGCCCGCACCCCACTGCCGCCCCACCCCCCCACTGCAGGGAAGCAGGCCCACACCCCACCGCTGGCCCCCCCCCCCCCCACTGCAGGGCAGGGAAGCAGGCCCGCACCCCACCGCTGCTGCCCCCCCACTGCAGGGCAGGGAAGCAGGCCCGCACCCCGCGTCCCCACAGATGGAGTCCCGGCCCCCAGAGTAACGCGCCAAGCTTTCGTCTAAACACCTTCTTCTGTTAGACGGTTTCTGTGCAGACTCTCACCTCCAGGATTCCAGGTCTGGCATTTAATGGTCTGTTGTCGTTCTCAGTGGATGTATAAAAGAATCCTAGAAAGTCTTAGCCCAGGAGAAATTGCCTATAGCAACTGCCTCCACATCCTGGTTTTGAAGAACTCCAGGAGAGCAAGAGAGCAACATGAAAGCCAGCCTTGCCCATGGCTGTGGGGAAGAAGAGGGAGAGGAAGGGAGGGAGGAAGGGAGGGAGGAAGGAGGAGGGAGGGGGATGGGAGGGAGGGAGGCAGGCAGGCCCCACATTAGAGCAGCACGGGTTTAAAAGTGAAAGTCTGGGTGGTGTCTTGTGGGTGATGTTACCAAATGGAACATTAGAAATGAGTATTACACATTGTTTTGGCTGGATTCCCCAACTGACAACTTTAACAATACACTTCTAGATAAGAATGCAGGTTTTAATTACAGTAATAATGACAATAATGAAGTGTTTGCTGGACTCACCTGGGAGAGGACCTTATCACAGCCTTTGGTTGATTAGCTTTTACTGTGTGTCTGGCACTGGGCAGGCCCTGTAGAAGGTCATCTGGTAGATTCTCAAGGATTTTATAACTGCAAGATCTTTGCAAATAGGAGCATTTAAAAGAAATCTGTCATAAAGATGCGTTACCCTACTTCTGGGTTATACTAATTGGCAGGATCTATTACTTGCTCATAGCAAAATACAGACTTTTTTTTCTTGGTGGAATTAACAAAGAAAGAGCAGGCTTAATGATATCAACACAGCAGTTCAGAAGTTCAGGGTAATTTATCTTGGGACAAAGTCTTCAGTTGAGCTACAGGCATTCAAAGGCACTGGGGATGTTAATGGGATTATGAAAGATATACCTGAGAGCAGATCGATATCCGATGTCAGGGCAGAGCAGTGAGGCTTCTTTCTTCTGCTGACATTTCCCCACCATGGGGTCTAGACCTAGTGCTTGCATTTAGACTTTGTGAGTGAAGGCAGGCTGGCATTTCCCCAGAGTGCAGGAAAACAACAGAGAGGAGCATGGTTTGCAAGTGTGCGTGCGTGCAGGAGTGTGCATGCAGGATGGGGGTGGGGGGGGTTGCAGGCCCAGATGAGGGTTACAAAGCTGCCACCTAGAGGCGCCTCTCTGCAGTGTATATAACGCAGGCCTGCGGCCCCGGAGCTCACAGTTGCCACAAAACTGCTGAGCACGGAGGGAGCCCGAGAGCCAGCTCAACAGCTCACAGCCAGGAAGGCGGCTCAGCCAGCCAGGAGGTAAGAGACTGAGGTACCAAAGTGGGGGTGTCGCGGGGTGCTGCGGCAGTGGGGGACGGGAGGGGGAGGAGGGCCGGCTGACCTGCTTTTAGCCACTCCAGCCTTTCCAGCGGAGTTTCTGGGTGCTGGTTTCTGGGTGCTTTGGCGTCTGGTTCTGAAGGGCAGGCTGCGTGTTGCTAAGGGCTGAGCTCATTCGGGGCTTCGTGTCTCCTTGCAGAAGTTTTCTTTAGTCACTTGTTGGGGCGGGGGGGGGGGGGGCGGAACTGGAGAGATCTGAGGATCTGGTGTGTGTCTGTGGCTGTGGGGACCTCAGCACCAGCTAGCAGAGGATCCCTGCGGAGGGGCAGCGGCCATCCTGCCTGCCCGGGGGCGCAGAGGAGTCGCTCGATGGCACTGCTGACCTGTCCCGAGTGTGGTGTAGAACTGGCTGTGCACACAGCATGGCAGAAGAGAAACTCTCTCCCAAGAGGCATTGTTCAGTGGACTAGAACCCGGGACTGAAAGTTTCTCTGAATGTATTCTTTGTGAATGATCGCAGACTCAATTCAAACTTCGTGCTCTGTGCCGTTAAGATCCTGCAGCCCAGAGGCTGGGACAGGAGTGCTCTACACAGCCCCGTCTTCTTGCTCCTACTGGCATCCTTGCTAACCTGAGTATTTCTTGCTGTCTTAGAAAGTGCTCAGTCCAACTTCACATAGACTTTTCAGGTAAAATGTGAATTTTGCTGGGCTTGGTGAGCATGCATGACAGTTCAAGGGGGGGCGGGGGAGAGGAGGGGTGGGAGTGTGTGTTTGGCTAAGATGCACAACTTCCAGAGAGAAAGAGAAGTTGTAAAAGTCAGACCAGCTGGCCTCCTCTCCTCTCCTCTCCTCTCCTCTCCTCTCCTCTCCTCTCCTCTCCTCTCCTCTCCTCTCCTCTCCTCTCTTCTCCATTTCCATTCATTTGCTTACAACAGAATTAATTAGCTTTTTTTTCTACTGAGGGCACTGAGCCTCTTCTTAAATGCTTAGAACCCTTTGAAGGTATTGGGGCAGTGACATCTCTGAGAATTGAGTCTGCCAAGCCTCAATGTGGTAACTTTCTTCTTTCCTTTTAAAACACAGATGCTGCCTTTGTATGCCTTTATTTCAGTCCAGGAAAACTCGGAGCTCAAATAGACAGGACTAGAAAGGAGAGCAGGGCTCTGGTTTCCCTGCTTAACTTTCCATAGATTTTTAACTGGATAAATCGCTGGCTTGGGATAATCAGAGCCGGCCCGGGATGCAAAAGCTTTTCCTGGGTGCAGCGCTGCCCATGGGGCTGTGGTTTGGAAACAATTTGCTCTTTTTCCCTTGCTCTCCCTGCCGTAAACACTTGAATGTGTCACACTGCTGGCTTCCCGGCCCCCGGGGGGGCCTCGGGGAGGAGGGTGCAGGCGCTGGGGACCCCGCAGAAACCCAGGAAAGCTGAGACTGGCCTGCATTGCATTTTGCCGCCTGTCAGGAGTTTTATTTATTTTTTATTTTTATTTTTTTAAGGGTCAGGCATTTGCACTCATATATATATTTTTTTAAGTTCCAGAAATTTTCCAATGTAGTTTGCTTGCATGTCACTGAATCAAGAGTTTGGGGGTGACTGCCCTGTAATAAGAGCAAGTCTTCGGAGTTGAGAATGTATTATGATTTCTAATCAAGCTCAGAATGGGCGGGGAATAGGCTTGCTGGATGGAGGAAAAAAGAAAAGAAAAGAAAACACAAAACCCCCTACTTAATCAGAACAGTGGCTTTTTGTGTGCTGGTTTGGGGCACAGAACTCCTGTTTCCAATTCCACACTGGGAAGTTGGTGGAAGCTACTCAAACTCGGCCACTTTATAAACTTAAGTGCGACCGAGACGGGCAAAAGGGACCCCAGCATTTCAGATCTTTAGATTTTTTTTCTTCAGAGATTTTGTGGACTATGAATGGAATTTGGCCCCAGAGGCATTTCTGCTTTCAAATCGGGCAACTCAAGGACTTGGTTTTGCTCTTAAGAACATGGGATTGCATGTGTATAGGTACAATTTATAAAGAAACAGAACACTGTGTCCTGACAAGTGTTTTTAAAGTCCACAGAAGAAAGGCGGAGCTCCAGAGCACACATCTTCGGCTGTAAAGAAAGCAGGCCACCAGAAGAAAGAGAGGGGGACAGGTCGGAGGGGAGGGCTGGCCTGGTTTTGAATACTTGATGGCTTTCTGCTGGGAATAGCGGGTGCTTTTGTTCCTCACAATGTTCCAAAAAAGCAGAAGAAAAACAAAGGAATCTTTTCCCCAAACGAACCCCGACTTCTTCCTGAAGGAAGTGAGGGGGCACGGCACGGTTTATGAGCAGATCTGCAGAGCTGCAAGTCCTTTTGGAAGGGGACTGGGTTTTGTTCTGGGCGAGAAGCAGACTAGGACTATCTCAGGTGGCCATGAACCACTGCTGACCAAGGGACAGATAGAGGGAGCTGGAGCAGGGAGTCTGCACTTCAAAGGCCGTGTCCTCCCAAGAGCTGGCACCTTCTGCTTCTCCTGATGTGGCACACCTCTAGGGATGCGTGTCTTCTTCTGGCCTGGTGCCCCTCCCATGGCCTCTTCCTGGTTCTAACCGGGGCGGGGGCTCCCACTCCAATCTGCTAAGCCACATGTGGGGATCTCTGGGTCTGCTCTGTTGGGCCCAAGGTCACAGCCTTGCACCAGCTAGCTTCCGGGTTGGCATTCATTCCAGTCCCCAGTCCCTCATGTGAGTGAGGCTGTCCCGGGTGCCAATGTCAAGCAGGGCTGAGTATGCCCTGGGAGCAGGTGGTCTGTGCCACAGTTAGGCAGGGCGTGGGTTTCTCGCTCCGTTATTTATCTACCTTTGAGCTGGCATGTCATACAGGTTTCTTACTTGTATAAAAGCAAGTCACTCAGGGCCACAGTGAATGCTGTTTCCCATTGGGAGGGTGCTGGGGGCAGACAGTATGTCCCTGTGCTC